TCTTCCTACCAGACACAACCTTTACTTTAATTGGGGCAATGGAATCAATGATATATAAAACTTTAGCCTGAAAAATCATCTACCAACTTATCTACATCATTACAGCTTAAGGGTGAGGAGGAAGAGTAGATTTGATTAAATGTTTCTGTGAAAGAACGTTTTGTGACAGTAGCTGTTTGTCCAAGTGGATTAAAGGATAAAGAACCTTCAAAGATAACAGCAAAGTGATCCGACAGGGCGACATCAGTTACAGAGACATTGGAAATATTCACAACCTTACTGATAACCAGGTCCAGTGTGTGTCCTTGAGTGTGTGTTGCTTGTGTGACATGTTGTGTTAAACCAACATTTTCTAAAATATCAGAGAGCTTTTTTGCTCCTGTGTCTTGGGGTTTGTCCACATGAATGTTGAAATCACCAACAGTTATTAAACAATCATAATCAATGCATATGAGAGAAGAAGATCATTCAAGTAAGTAAAGAAATTTTCCACATATTTGGAGTTTTGTATAAAGTTAGTGTCAAAGTTCGTTTGAAGCCTTTAACCTGAATTCCAAGATACTCAAAAGATGTGAAATGACCCAAAGAAATTTTACTACAGTTTATGTTTTTCTTAAATATAGAAGCCACGCCTCCTCCTTTTCTGTTTTCTATTCTCACTTAAAAAATTGTTGTCAGGAGGCGCTGATTCAATTAGTACAATTTGGTCATTATTGTCATTCAACCATGTTTCAGTCAGAAACATAACATCAATAATATACTCAGTGATAAAATCATTAATTAATGAAGCTTTAGCACAGAGTGATCTGATATTTAAAAGAGCTACTTTAAGTGGCTTGGAGGCCAGAAGATTTTCAGACTGAGGTTCCTTTAGGCAGGGAATTAGTCTGAGGTTTGAATTAGGACCGCTGTATTTCATATTTCTGTTTTTTGTAAATTTTCTTGTAGTGATCTGGACAGGTAATGTCCTGTTCTGCAGAACCCGGGGTCAGACACATTCTGGATGGAGACAGGTGTAAAGATAATATCTGGTCCCCGGCCTCAGACCTCAGAAAAACAGAGTGATGGATCCTCTGGGAAGTCAGGGGATCTTAAATGTAGTGAGGTCTGCTACGTGAGTGCTAAGGAGAGATGTGCTGAGGTGAATCTGTTGATTCATTCCATCTGTAAATTTAAGAAACTCTGATCCGGAAGACATTTCTTCTTATCTATTGAATCCTGTGAATGATTGGAGGAGCAGAGAGGGAGGGGGGAAGGAGTCGCTCCATCTCCAGTCGATTTATCAGCTTGTTTTGGAATATTATGCTCCTGATATGCGGCGGGCTCCATCCTAGTCAGACATCCTTGAGCCTGTTCTTCTCTGACGATGATGATCCTGTTGCTGTCCTAAAGGTTTGCAGTGAGTAGCTTTATCCGATGTTTATCCGATGTTTATTAAGATTGCATCCTCCTCTTACAAAAAGGAGAAAGCGCTGCCAATAGATCCAGAGGTTATCATGAAGGTCACTGAGCTGGTAGTGCGGCTTTTAATCAGCCATTTGTTGATCGTGAGCAGACTGGAGAATTTTCATTTCCCCATTGAGGTGATGGAATGGACCACTGAGAAATAACTTCATTTTTAATTTTCCTATAGTGTTCAGAAGAATATTAAAGTCCTTTTTCAGAATCTCAGACTTTTGCTTTGCCAGATCGTTGGCTCCAACATGCACAACTAAAGTCTCAATATCTGGCTGATCAGTGGTTAGAGAGAGCAGTTTGTTGGTTAAATCAAATACAGTGTCACCAGGAAAATACATCACTCTTCTTTTCCTGGGATTGCAAACATCACTGATTCCCTTTACTGCCTCATCTCCAATAATAAGCACTTTTGGGATATCTTTTGTTTTCCTGGTGGTCCATTTGTCCTTTGGAGCTTTGGGGGATGGATGTGTTGGTCTTGCCTCATTGTTGATATTTGAAGGCAAAGTTTCACTCAGAGGCTCAGGCTGGAGTGCAGAAAATCTGTTTTTTCAGTGGATTCCCACAGAGTCAGAATGTTTTGAGGCTCTTGCTGGTTGCTTTGTCCCTGGGAGCGGGGTCAGCGGGGTCGGTGGAGGCGTTTTGGTTGCAGCTGCTTGTTTGTCTTTCTTTGGCGGAGCAGGTGTTGAAGTTGAAGGTGGGTTTCGGCTCAGAGCCGGCCACGCTGATTCGTTCGTGTGCGGGGTTCTACCTGATAGTCGTCTCATCGGATCCGCAGTGCGAGATTCCCGTTTCGGCTTGGCACCCAGAGTGTTCCAGGGTGAGCTGCTCGGTGCAGGGCGCACAACCTCTCCGTTGATTTGAGGAAGAGTTGTTTCATTTCCACAGGTAGCGTTGATCTCAAAGTTCACCTCCAGTAGCTTAATCTTCATTTCTATAAACTGAAGTCGTTGTAAAACTGCTCATGTCCTTGAGGTCAGCCGGAGGCATTTTGCCCTGGTTTAACTTGGAGGTAAATAAAAGTAAGGTAAAAATAAAAGTAAGAAAATCCCCCAGTCCTTAGGTTTGGAGTAATCCAGTTAAGATGTCAATAATGTAAAAATAACTATAAAAACTGTCACCTTAAAATTAAAAATAATTCACAGGCAGAGTTGTCATCAGTAAGGATGAGAGAGAGCAGGATAAGCTGTTCCTCCTTAGGCACATATGGACCAATCAGATCTCTGAATGATAGAGGTTATCATTAAGGACTTTATATGTGAGAAGGGGGATCTTAAATTCTATCCTGTGTTTAACAGGGAGCTAATGAAGCGAAGCTAAAATAGGAGGATATGATCTTAATTTTCATCAGAACTCTTGCTGCAGCATTTTGGATCAGCTGAAAGTTTTTACCTGTAGTTTGTGGCCTTCCTGATAGTAAAGAATTACAGTAGTCCAGCTTTAAAGTAACAAAAGCATGGACTAGTTTTCAGCATCACTCTTGGACAGAATATTTCTAATTTTAGCAATATTCATTTTTAAGCCAGCCTTCTGTGTTTGCCTTGATACCTACATGTTAAAGCTGTTCTAAGCACTAGCACAACAACCTGGGCTGGGGCTAATGACTTGGCTCTTCATACCCAAATATTAAAGTAAATATTAAATAAAGTTATATTAAGTAATATAACTTTACATCATAGATGTGCTTTCAACAGTAGGGCTTACAAGCTTTGGCGCCACAGAGAGTGACTGTCATTCTGAAATCCATCAAACGTGAAGTATAAAAACCAAAAGAACAGAAACATCAGGCTACTGGTCACTAAAGATGAAACGGCACCATCATTTTGACATTTTATCAATTTAAACTCAGAGCCTTTAGCAGCCTCCAACTGCTGATGCTAGGTTTATTATCGACATGTTGAAGCAGGCATGCAGTGGCACGCACATTGTGTCGCAGTGTAAGGGAGCTGCCATGAATCTTGGCCCCATGACAAAAAATGAAAGTGGGCCCCTCCTGCGCAACTGCTGTTACTGTTTCTTCAGTCTATTTAACCCATCAAAACGTCACAATTTTAAAGGATTGCAACTGCCTTGCTTTATTTGGTCCAACATTGATACTACCACAATAATTACTGCTAGTGAATTTTAATCCAACAGTCGGCAAACAGTATACAAATAGGTTGCTCAAATTTTTATTTATCATTTCAGTTTAAGCTTACTAAAATGTCTCTCCCAACCAGAAACAGTCACAGGCAATGTGCAAAATATAACAATGTTGACTTCTCAATAATACTATGTAGTTGTATTTTGTTCAAGCTGCAGTATATAACATAGATATAAGTTACATATAATTAACTTTTTTCATATTTGTTGAAGTTGTCACCATGTTGTGACAGTTTGCTATGAGACAGATAATCAGATAACCACATGAGATTGTGATTGACAGCACTAAAACCCGCCTCCTGCCTCTCATTGGTTGTTTCTAGATATTACTGGGAGAAGGCAGAGGAGTTCAATTTGTTTCTCACAGATAATTTCTCATATCATACTTGTCACAACATATTGACAGTTCTAACAAATATGTTCATAAATATCTCATATAAAAGTTACATAATGCAGCTTTAACATACTTATACTGGTATGGTGATCAGAGCTGCTGCTGACTGATTCAACTGTTGTTAAGTGTAATGCAAGGTACAGGGGCAAGTTAAATATATGAATATTTTTTCCCCATCCTTTTCACTTTGCTGCTCTATAAAGCTACTTAGTCCATAAAAATGCTCTACCTTGTTTGCCATCTGTATTCAAGTGACTGATGATGATGTTGGTGGAGAGCTGGCGTCAAATTTAAAAAATATATGACACGTGGATGAGCCACGTGTCATAGAGTTAAATGTAAGAGTGAAAATAAAGCCAGCACAACGTTTTCTTCAACATTTTACAGAACAATTAGTCGGTCTTGTAACGTCTTTGGCAATATGTTGTTTAAACATATTGCTAAAAACCGAGTTGATTCCAAGTTAACTCAACCATGAGTCAACTTGGATCCTTGAAATCCTATTCGTTCAGGCACCCTTTATGCCCGGGCTGGGTGCCCACCGCTCTCCCAGCTCCCCTGAGGCTCCCACCCCTGGTTTTAAGAAAATATTGTGGTTGACTGTTTCAAAAGCACCACGAGATCTAGCAAAACTAGAACAGACATAAGTCCATTATCTGAAGCCAAGAGAATATCATTTGTAACTTTCAACAATGCTGTTTCAGTGCTGTGATGAGCCCTGAAGCCTGACCGAAACTCCTCAAACTGATTTTTACCATTTGATAGAGACCACGATCTACCAGATTCAAGCTGGAAAAAATGCAGTCAACCATGAGCAATAGACTGGAACAGTGAACAGAAACATCTGTGCTGAGTGTGGTACACATTTCCCTGTAAGATGGGCTGTGTTTTTGTAAGATTATTTTATCAAGTCGGGAATGTTAGCACACTAACCTTCTGCTTTAGCAGTGTTATCTGACTGTTTACCACGACTACAGTGTAATCTAAGTCCACTCTCTGTTTTTAGTAAAATGGAGAATATTCTGGGTTTCACAAACCACCAGACCTGTATCAGAGAGGCTGTCCTCCTTCAGTACTATTTGTCTGGATTCTGGTGGGCTAAAGATACCAAGTTTAGCCCCACACAGATCTCTTTCACTATGGCTGTACTCCATCTACTGCTGGAAAATCTAAGAGGTGGGAAATGCAGAATGTTGGTTCTTCAAGCTGATGAGTTGCATTGTATCCACACTTCTAACATTCACTTTTTTTTTTTGGTAAGAAAAAAAAGTCTAATAGACTTACAGTTTATTTGTGCTTCTCCTTCCTTTCTCAGAAAAACAGATGAGTTCAGTGGATAATATGGTGGTGTTCATGAAAGCCATGACTGCTGCCTGCCACTGTGCTTCTTCTGAAGAAGATGGCACTTCACTTTTGAACAATGATGAAGCCAAAGCACTGATATGCTATGTTGCAAAAAGGTAAGCATGACCAAGCCAGTCAAATTCAAATTCAAAAATACTTTATTGATCCTAAAGGGAAATTAAATAATTCAACTGATCACCAAACTTTAAAAAACATAGACTCTACCCACATCACTGCCATATTTATGATTTCTAGTAATAGTCACAATAGTTTCAGAACTTTAACACTCTACATAAACTAATAGAAATAATTTATGTACTGATCTACATAAATTATTTCTGTAGAGCAGTGATGCCCAGAGGTAGAAATTCCAGAGAGGTTACAGAGGGTTTGGGCCCACTCCAACCTTGGTGAAGTGTAGAATTGTCCCCCCCAAAAAAAAAAAATCATGCAAATAATCTTTGTATTAAAACAATATCAATATAAAAAAGGTGAAATAAACAAATAATACAAATCTGCCATTCATCAAAGAAAAAAATAAAAATACACTTTTACGTCTACCCCTGCCATTGTTAGAATCAGTCCAAAATTTTAGGAGAAGCAACAGCAGAACAACTGTGGCTCTGCAACACTAACCCTAAAACGCCTCCAGTAAAAAAATACTTAAAGCAAAATACATATAACACCTTTTATTTATTTTCACTTCTCAATGATGAACTGCCTTTTATGCCTTGGAAATCAAAATGAACAAAACTGGCTGCATTGGTTTGATAGACTTTTGTTGAAGATAGCAAATATCTCAATTATATTTAGTTCTTTAACTCTTACATTAATGAGAAGAGTTTGAAACAGGAGGAACTAAGCGTTCAACTCGCTAACAGCTCAGTGTGTGGGAGCCCAGAGCAGAGACAGAAATACAGGAAAAAGTGTCTTTATTTCTTATCTTCAACATAGAGCACATATGTCAAAGTCAAGGCATCCGGCCCGTGAATTAATTGTCTGTGGCCCTCTGGATGATATTTAATTACTATAAGAATCTGACGTTTTGCACGCACCAACACTACATTCCCCACAATGCAACAGTAGCCCGCAAAGTCACTGCAGCTCACAAGCGGCTTCATTGTTCATCAGCAATCAGAGCAGAGATCAACTTTAAGGTTCCCCTCCTCAAAAATGTCTAAATGGTTAATGGACGCTGAGAACAGAGGCTTTCAAGCCAGGTGGGGAGCAGAGTTCATGTTCATGGAGGTAAAAGACAAACCTGTGTGCAATAACGTCAGTAACGCGTCACTGACGTCAGACAGCTTTTTTCAGTAACGAGTAATCTAACATTTCTATTTCAAATCCAGTAATCAGACTACAGTTACTTGTCGAAATCACTTTGCTTTACTTTTTTCTCTTGTAGCTATATTTGACTTCCTCTCCGCGGCTTTGGGAGAGTCTATGCGGCAGTATCAGCTGCGACAGAAACAGAAACAATGGAGGGAGAAGCGCATTTTGTTACTGGAAAAACAGCAGCTATTTTGAGTTTCACTCACCAAGTGCGATTATTATAAGCGGCTTTGGGCTTGTTTTTTTTTTTGTAAAGTCTCTTGTAGATTTAATGAGTCGCTGGTTGTGGTTTCTGGGCTTAATTAGGAGACATAAACCCAGAATTTGTCTGACATCCAGTCAGTTTTAGTCAGACTCATAATCCGTCCCGCTGTGTCTTTGATCATGTCAAGTTTTACCCCTGAATGACGTCAAGCTCCAGAAAATAACAAACATCGAAACTAATATCAACAGCACAATAAACGTGAAAACAGCCACGAATGAACATCCGTAAAGTTGTGCATCTAAATGCCATTACTTGCACTTATCTTACTAATATTAAGATAAGTGTCACAAATCTGTGCAGCTATCTGACATGCGGAGCGGCAGGTGGAGATCTGTGCGCTGCGCTGACAGCTAACGCAGGGTGCTCAACCTGGAGACTGGGGCGCGGGACAGGGGTCTAAAGTCCTAGTTTTTCAGACAATATAGAAACACAAAAACATGCACAAATTACAAAGTTTTTTTTTTCTTTTTGTACTGTTGTAACCATTAAACAATCTCCCCTTCTGTTCAACCATATAAGTGGAGTCATATTGTTGATGTTACTATTATAAAATAACTTGCAATAAAGTATTGGCGAAGATCGATGTGATTTTCACAGGTGGCGGAGCATTGTTGTTAGGCTAACTAACAACAACTGCTGAAAGTAACTAAAAAAGTTACTTTTAATGTAACTTAGTTACTTTCCAAATCAAGTAATTAGTAATATAAGTAACTTTTTCAAGGAGTAATCAGTAATCTGATTAAAGTAACTATGCCATCAGTGCCTGTGTGTTTCTGTGTAGAGAAAGTTTGGCTGTGATAAAAGAATAGAATCTCAGCAGTCACTATCAAGCTTCTCAGAAACATATGGACAAAGACAAGCGTATGGACATCATAGAGGAGCACAATAATGCATTTTCAGTTTATACTACATGCACTTTAATTTATGTATTTATCTTAAGAAACATTTAGTTTTTCAAAATTTGTTTTTTTTGCTGTTTGCATGTTGGAAATATTTTCCCTTGCGGTTACTCAGTCATAATAAAACAGTGCTTTGTTCTTTTAACGTACAGAACATATTTTCTTTGAAGTAAGTTTGTTTTTGTCTGTTTGCCTGTTGAAAAATGGTTTCCATAAGAAAATATCGCTTTATTCATTTAATTATTAAATAATATACACTGTGTTAGGTCTTCGTTCAATAGGCTATGTGCAATCATTTAATTTAATATGTTTTAGTAAACAGTGAACCAGTCCGGCCCACGGCTTGTAGCAAATTTGGTGTTTTGGTCCTCTGTGTATTTGACTTTGACATCCCTGACATAGAGCCTCCAAAACCACACACACAAAATCTGGATAGTTTTCTACAAATACCCTGGTGCTTTGATCATTCAATTTAAGATATATTTCCCAGATATGCATTATGTCTAACTACTTATAGTATATATTAAGTAAGTATAAATCACAATAATCAAAAGAGGAAAGAGTGGACAACCCTGGCGGGGTCCACGACCTAGGTGAAAATATGCTGAGTGGTTATTATTTGTGCAAACACTGGCTAATGGAGAAGCATAACAGTCAGTCTACAGTTAACTCACACATTGTGACTGAATAATGTTAGAGTTGCTACCTGTAACTCGCCAGGTGTTCTATTAGATCATCATGTGCTGTCAGAATAGCATACATGCAGTGAGTATGCATGCCTGCGTAGGCGCATTAAGAAGTCCGAGCGTCGGAGGACCTGTCAGTTCAGCATATGTGACAAATTACGACAAATATAAGTCAATAAATTGTTTTCAATGATAACTAGATAGACATACATGCATTGTGATGGTTTCAAAGTCTATTTAAAGCTAAACCTGCAGTCAACTACAAAATATACCTGTGAAAAACCTGCCCCCCCGTTGCTTGATGATGGTCTGAGAAGTTAAACGCTAAGTCAGGATGTCATACAGCTGTTAATAATGAAGAGTATTACAATCTACATCATGATTCTATGTTGCCGATTAAATAAAACCACATGGTAATGACAGTGTACACTTGTCTGACAGATATAGCTGTCAGTTTGTACTAAGCATGACGGTCTGACAGAACACCGGAACCTGTCTGTGCTGGCAGTTTTGGTGGGCTTCAATTGCTGCCAACAAAAACATTTGGTTCATCTCCAAGATGACGGTCAAAATATGCATCCAGTTTTTGACTTTTCCTTGCTCTATTCCCTATACTGTTAAACTCATTCTGTAAACATTTTTGTGCAGTCTTATTCTGAAATACAAACTATATGAACTCCTCTTCATGAAATCCACAGAGGAGCATCTGACAGGGATGGAGGTGAGACTGCTTCTGATGTCTCTATCTACTGTATGTCCCCTTCTATTGACATGTCAACACGCTCTGTTTCAGAGAACCATTCAGAGATTCGGCTGTCAAGATGCTCATACCTCACTGGAGGAAAGTATTTCCACCTACTTCTACTTTAAGTAAATAAATTAAAAATTTCATTTAACATAAATAAATTCATTGTATGACTTTGGGTTTTCAAAGCACAAAACTGGCTAAATACGGTCAGATGTCACCAAGTGGACATTGTTTGCGTATTTAATTTGGTCAGACAAGCAGAACTCCTGCAGCAGTAGGCTTTGTGTCTTCGACTGACCTTCATACACGTTTGTTCCTTGGACACTCTTTGTCTGTAAGTTAATTTCATTAATTATTATTTCAGTATTGTATAATATTTTGTAAGAAAAGTTTTATATTTCCCAACCAAAATTTAACGCTACATCGTTAACTAATTGGGAGTCATTTGTTTGCTGTAGTCTAGTTGTTTCTGTATCTTGCCTGTGGTTGATGTGTACTTTTAGTTAAAGTTTTACAAAAAATAAAAAACAAACCAGAAGAGAGTTGAAAAATTAAACAAGAAAACTATCAAGGACTGGATTATTTTCAATGTTAAATAAAAGTATACTTTAAGTGAACAAAATATGTATTTGCTCAAGTGCACAAAAGAAACATGCTTTTAAAAATATTTTGTGCATATTTTAAAATATGTGCTCAAATTAAAATTATTTAAAATTTACTTAAAGATTACTTTAAAAGCAAACTATTAAATATACCATATTTTCCAGACTATAAGTCGGTCCGGAATATAAGTTGCACCAGTAATAAAATGCATAATGAAAAATACATATTTAAGTCTCATCGGAGTATAAGTTGCATTTTTGAGGGAAATTTATTTGAAAAAGTCCAACACCAAGAACAGACATGTCATCTTGAAAGGCAATAAAAATAGAAGCAACAACAGGCTTAATAATTGTACAGTATGCTAACCTTACATGAACAATGAACAATGAACTGATAACGTGCCTGATATAGTAACATAACATTAAATCCTTACCCTTACAAGTTTAGTAAACACCAAACCATCCGTGTCACTCCAAATCACTAAATCGAATGAAATCTTTATCCTCAGTGTTGCTTTTAAAACAACTCATCTACGCTGAGTCCCTCCCGGATGACTGAGCTTCTCACCCTATCTCTAAGGGAGAGCCCAGCCACCCTGTGGAGAAAATCTGTTTCAGCTGCTTGTATCCGCGATCTCGTTCTTTCGGTCATGGCCCAAAGCTCATGACCATAGATGAGGGCAGGAATGTAGATCGACCGGTAAATCTTGAGCTTCGCTTTTTGACTCAGCTCTCTCTTTACCACGATGGACCTGTACAATGCCTGCTTCAGGGCAGTCGCTGCACCAATCCGCCTGTCGATCTCCCTTCTTCCCTCATTTGTGAACAAGATCCCGAGATACTTGAACTCCTCCACTTGAAGCAGGACACCCTCCCCGACCCGGAGAAGGCACTGTACCCTTTTCCGGCTCAAGACCATGGCCACGGACTTGGAGGCACTGATACCCATCCCAGCCGCTTCACACTCGGCTGCGAACCGCTCAAGCAAGAGCTGCAGATCACGTCCTGATGAAGCCAGTAGGATCACATCATCTGCAAAAAGCAGAGATTCAATCCTAAGGCCACCAAAACGAATCCCCTCAACCTATGTTCCCTCTAATTGTTCATGTGTCTGGGCGTACACACAAGCTTCCTGAGCACACTGAGGACCACTGTGAGCATCATCAGTGTACACGGCATGGCCACGCACAAGTATTATAAATCTGGGATCATAGAAAGTTGCATGGCTTATTACAAGAATCAAATTACATCAGCAGTTTTCATTTGTTTGCAAATCAGTTTTCATTGTGCAAATCATTTAAGTGATTTGCCCAATTAAAATGAAAAAAAGAAAAGAAAACATTTCTGTTCATGAGATGCATACTATGTTATAAGTGAGAGTCCTGCTTCAGTCAGGGTGAGAAGTGAGACATTTTTGTAAATTTTCTTGTAGTGATCTGGACAGGTAATGTCCTGTTCTGCAGAACCCGGGGTCAGACACATTCTGGATGGAGACAGGTGTAAAGATAATATCTGGTCCCCAGCCTCAGACCTCAGAAACACAGAGTGATGGATCCTCTGGAAAGTCAGGGGATCTTAAATGTAGTGAGGTCTGCTACGTGAGTGCTAAGGAGAGATGTGCCGAGGTGAATCTGTTGATTCATTCCATCTGTAAATTTAAGAAACTCTGATCCGGAAGACATTTCTTCATTATCTATTGAATCCTGTGAATGATTGGAGGAGCAGAGAGGGAGGGGGGAAGGAGTCGCTCCATCTCCAGTCGATTTATCAGCTTGTTTTGGAATATTATCCTCCTGATATGCGGCGGGCTCCATCCTAGTCAGACATCCTTGAGCCTGTTCTTCTGACGCGATGATCCTGTTGCTGTCCTTGTTGATAAAATAAAAAAGGTTTGCAGTTAGTAGCTTTATCCCATGTTTATTAAGATTGCGTCCTCCTCTTCCAAAAAGGAGAAAGCTCTGTCAATAGATCCAGAGGTTATCATGAAGGTCACTGAGCTGGTAGAGCAGCTTTTAATCAGCCATTTGTTGATCGTGAGCAGACTGGAGAATTTTCATTTCCCCATTGAGGTGATGGAATGGACCACTGAGAAATAACTTCATTTTTAATTTTCCTATAGTGTTCAGAAGAATATTAAAGTCCTTTTTCAGAATCTCAGACTTTTGCTTTGCCAGATCGTTGGCTCCAACATGCACAACTAAAGTCTTAATATCTGGCTGATCAGTGGTTAGAGAGAGCAGTTTGTTGGTTAAATCAAATACAGTGTCACCAGGAAAATACATCATTCTTGTTTTCCTGGGATTGCAAACATCACTGATTCCCTTTACTGCCTCATCTCCAATAATAAGCACTTTTGGGACGCCTTTTGTTTTCCTGGTGGTCCATTTGTCCTTTGGAGCTTTGGGGAATGGATGTGTTGGTCTTGCCTCACTGTTGATGTTTGAAGGCAAAGTTTCACTCAGAGGCTCAGGCTGGAGTGCAGAAAATCTGTTTTTCAGTGGGATTCCCACAGAGTCAGAATGTTTTGAGGCTCTTGCTGGTTGCTTTGTCCCTGGGAGCGGGGTCAGCGGGGTCGGTGGAGGTGTTTTTGTTGCAGCTGCTTGTTTGTCTTTCTTTGGCGGAGCAGGTGTTGAAGTTGAAGGTGGGTTTCGGCTCAGAGCCGGCCACGCTGATTCGTCCAGGTGCGGGGTTCTACCTGATAGTCGTCTCATCGGATCCGCAGTGCGAGATTCCCGTTTCGGCTTGGCACCCAGAGTGTTCCAGGGTGAGCTGCTCGGTGCAGGGCGCACGACCTCTCTGTTGATTTGAGGAAGAGTTGTTTCATTTCCACAGGTAGCGTTGATCTCAAAGTTCACCTCCAGTAGCTTAATCTTCATTTCTATAAACTGAAGTCGTTGTAAAACTGCTCATGTCCTTGAGGTCAGCCGGAGGCATTTTGCCCTGGTTTAACTTGGAGGTAAATAAAAGTAAGGTAAAAATAAAAGTAAGAAAATCCCCCAGTCCTTAGGTTTGGAGTAATCCAGTTAAGATGTCAATAATGTAAATATGACTTTAAAAACTGTCACTTTAAAAATAATTCACAGACAGAGTTATCAGTAAGGACGAAAGAGAGCAGGATAAGCTGTTCCTCCTTCAGCAGTCAGTCTTTTTAAAAAGCATATGTTATGTAATTTGACGGGTACTGCGACAGACTGGCGACCTGTCCAGGGTGTACCTTGCCCAGAACACAGCTGGAGATAGACACCAGCAACTCCCAACCCCAATAGGGATAAGGGCCAGAGTCAATGGCTGGATGGATGGAATTTGACGAATGAAAATAGAACATGACCGATTTTTTGATGCTGTCGGTCAAGATTACGGATAACAATAAAGTCTAGTGCGGCCTGTAATTTAAGTATTACATCTAATACTTAAAGTAATGTTTGTCTGTTTTTTAAGTATATTAACAGACCGCTCTTATAGTCCCTCTGTTTCTACTGTACTCCTGTTAGCCCTCTTTCCAACCTCCACTGAAGAGTTGAAGAGTTTCATTGCACGAGGGACAAAGGAGTTCCTCAGTCTGGGCCTGCATTTTGGAAGAAGCAGTCCCCTACTGAACCTTATTTCAGTATGCAGAGGGTGGCTGGAGTTGTCCATAACAGCTTTGAGTTTCTGCAATGTTCTCTCTGCTACTGGTGCTAGAAAGTCTAGTCTTTCCAGCAGTGTTCAGAGATGCTTCCATCTCAGCACATCTCAACGTATAACAAAATGCTGGCGACAACAGATAAAACAAGCCCAGCAGTTTTCTCAGATGTTAAAGGACCTCAACCTCCTCAGGTAGTACATCCTGGTCTGGACCTTCTTATACAGCCGTTTGTATGACTTGTACAGTTCAACTTGTTTTCCAGCTACTGGCTAAGATATTTATAGTTCTTGGAGTTCATCACTAATAAAAACATCTTCAAAATGAGAAAATGAGCAAGAAAGCTGCTTAGCAGTGTTAAGAAGGATAGCTGCTATAAGGAAAACAAAAAAAATAACATTGAGAAGAGGATAAAAAATTTGTGTACAATTTAAAAATAATTAGTAGATAAGAGTAATGAAACAACATACATATTTTAAATGATATTGCATGTATTCACTTAATTTCCTTTTGGAACTAATAAGGTATTTTTGAATTTGAATTTACAGCTCCATTTATGTTTTTTGGGAGACACCCATTTTATTTTCTGACAGAAGCAAACTACGTGAGTGAAAAAATATCAAAATCTAGAATATTAATACTCTTTCAGTATAACTATGCTTGAGTTGTGTCAGCAGATGAGTCTTTCCAGAGAAACGCAGAGCTTTTCCTACATGTGTACACCAGATGTCGCCATTTATCTTTCTCTGTTGTGACTATTTCTCCATTTGCAGCAGAAAGTTTTCTTTAAGAGTGCCATATTGAATAAGAGTTTGAGAATGGATGGTATTTACTTCCCTCAGCATGCGCAAGTAAGGACTGAATTCTTTTTCAAACAGGAATACTAAATGATTTATGAGGTGAAGAACAGTGACTGGCCAGCCCTCTCCTATTG